GCCCCTGCCAGAACATGCCTGAAAGCAGCACACCGAGAGACAAAGACACAAAGATTCCATTTTCTCAGTGAAAATAGATTTCATGTGTAAAACACTAGTGAGAAAAAATTGAAAGCTGACACATATGTGCAATTTGAGAGAGAGGCAGGGCTGAATATTTCAAGAAGATTGAAATTGCATTTGATTGCATCAAAGCCTAACAAATGTTGTTTAACCTAAAAGTCTTTTCAGTCTGTAAAAAGACATTCAGTGGCAAGATATTTTATTTTTTTTTTAAGCACATGGTTAAAAAGAAAAAGGAATCTTGAGCTCAGTAGAGAGATGTTGATTACATACTACTGTTGCATAAAGAATTAACACTGGCTCACATCACAGGGTCTACAAAATAAAGGGGGAAAGTTGAAGAAGAAGAAGAAGAAGAAGAAGAAGAAGAAGAAGAAGAAGAAGAAGAAGAACCACCACCACCACCCTATTGAATCAAAGGGTTCAGAAAGATAATATTAAATCCTTATGAGTATGTTTCCTATAAAAAGAATCCCCTCCCAGCAGCCCCAGGGTATCATTACTGGAGAGGCAGCGAGTGGTTTATTAGAGATTCAAGCCTTGGCATCTGAGCCTTGCCAAGCATGCAAGTTTTAGCTTGTGAGCCCAGGGCCCTTGGCGTGCACAGTCCCTTCTGGCATCTAACAGCGAGGGCCGTCTGGTTGGTCTCCACACGCCAGGCAGTGTGTGGGTGCAAAGGCTCAGACTGGGAGACAAAGGAAGATCATCGTTTGCTATGGAAGGTCATGCTTCGTGCTTTCCTTCCTACCGAAATTCATATATGCCAGCATGACATGTAGGGATGAAAGGAGAAATGTGTGAAAAAAGAAGGCCCAACAAAATCCATCAGGGAATTAATCTACAACATATTAAAAATAAATAGAAAGAGGGAGAGAGAGAGAGAAGGGAGAGAGAAAGTTTGGAGTTTTGATTTAAAAATGATCTTTTCCCAGAGTTGGATGTGTCTCATGTTTTGTCACCCTCACTGGGAATGAACAAGGGGTAGTGGAAGGGGAGGTGGGTGGGTGGGGGGGGGCGGTTGGGGTGACTGGGTGATGGGCACTGAGGGGGACACTTGGCAGTATGAACACTGGGTGTCATGCTATATGTTGGTAAATTGAACTCCAATAAAAAAATTTTTTTAAAAATGATCTTTTCATGCAAGGGAAGAGAGCTTCTCCCACTGACCTACTGAGATTTTTTTTTTTTTTTTAACTGTGGGGCGTGTTTGTGTTTAACTTCGTGCACCATCGTGAACTGCAAGGCCAGTTCAGTTGTATATGAAAGTAACTGGGGTCACTTTTATTTATTTATTTTTTAAAAAGTGTTCTTGAAGTATAGTTGACATACAATATCCTCTTAGTTTCAAGCGTCCCCCATAGGGGGTTGATATTTTCATACATTACGAAATGACTCCCACAATAAGTACACACACCTTCTGTCACCAGAGAAAAGTATTATGGTATCATCCACTCTCTTCCCTATGCTGTACGTCCCCGTGACTTCCTTATTTTGCGACTGTAATTTGTATCTCTCCATCCCCTTCACCTACTCTGCTAACCTCCTCCACCCTCCTCACTCTGGTAACCAACAATCTATTTCCTGTATTTCCGATGAGTCTGTTTCTGCTTTATTTTGTTTGTTGTTTAGCTTCTACATGTAAGTGAAATCAAATACAGCATTTGGCTTTCTCTGACTTATTTCACTTAGCGTAATACCCTGAAGGTCCATCCACGTTGTCACAAACGGCAACGTCTCATTCTTTTTTATGGCTGCGTAGTATTCCATCGTGGAAATCCACCACACCTGTGTCTTTCATCTGTGGATGGGCATGGGTTGCTTCCATACCTTACCTGTTGTAAATAATGTCGCGATGAACAAAGCGCTGCATATGTCTCTTCGAATTGGTGCTTTTATTTTCTTTAGATACTCACCCAGGAATGGAATTGCTGGATCGTGTGTATTTCTATTTTCCACTTTTTGAGGACTCCCCACACTGTGGCTGCACCAATTGACATGTTCACCAACAGCATATGAGGATTTCCTTTTCTCCTCAACCTCGTCCACACTTGCTCTCTTTTGTCTTTTTCATGATAGCCATCCTGACTGGTGTGAGGTGATGTCTCAGTGTGGTTTTGATTTGCATTTCCATCGTAATTAGTGATGTTGAGCATCTTTGTATGTGTTTGTTTGGCGTCTGTATGTCTTCTCTGGAAAAAAAAAAGGTGTCTATCCAGGTTCTCTGCCCTTATTAAAATCAAGTTGCAGAGTCTTTTTAAAATATTAAGTTGTGCATATTCTCTATAATTTTGGATACTAACCTCTTATCAGATGTAGGATTTGCAAATACCTTGTCCCATTCACTACGTTGCCCTTTGGTTTTGTTGATGGTTTCCTTAGCATTGCAAAAACGTTTTGGTTTAATGTGATCCCATTTATTTATTTTAGCTTTCCTGCCCTTGCCTGAGGAGAGGGCCCCTCCAAAATATTTCCCTGACCGGTCAAAGAGCTCACTGCCTCTGCTTTCTTCTCTCTCCAGTTGAGCCTACTGCCGTTCTGATCCCCATCCATCCAAGAGCATGCTGTCCTTGATAGATAGGCTCAATGCTTGCAGAATAGTCGAATGGGCTTAATATGTGTTGAAAAGTGTTAGACCATTAACAGGTTAAAACGTAATGAATAGTAGCTGTCAGGGGTTATAGACCAAGAAAGCACGCCGGGAATACTTTAATTCAAAAAAAAAAAAAATTACGGTAAAGTTTCTAGAAATTGAGAACACATTTTTGTACTTCGCCACTCCCTTTCAAGCCCCTGCAGTTCTTAAATTCCTTTAGTCACTAGGAATATCAGAGAGAGAGAGCGAAGAAACTGAGTGCTTCATAATCTTGTAAGAGATGACTGAGGGGAAAGTGAGAATATTGGGTAAACCCTATGACCCCTGAAATGTTCTCCACAAACTCTCCATTCCCACAGCAATACTCATGGCAGGAGAGACCTTCTAGCTATCCTTCCCAGTCTAATCAAAATACCAGCCAGCATTCTGAACAAGATATTTATAACATTAATTAATAAAGCTGCTATCTCAATTGGGTCATTAAAAATAACCTCAGTGCGCACAGCATCCCTCTATTTGCCATCAGAAGGGAGCGTCCCACATCTTGGAGAGTTGGGAGCACAACTGTTGATGTGTATTCAGTCACCGTTGGGTTGGCTGAGCCTCAGTTTCCTTTTGCAGGATATGGGGAATTTTGGGAACCGTGGGAAACTTGGGGAGGATTCACCCACACATTGGAGTCAAGTTAACTCCAAAATGCTAACATGCCTATGTGCACAGTGGGAAGAGAGCGCGACACTTGCGTCACCTTTTAAGACTTAAGAGTCTTTTTCTCCTTTCCCCTTTATTCCCTTTCACTATTTTTTATATTCCCCAAATGAGAAAAAATAAGTGGGAAATATCAGAAAGGGAGACAGAGCATGAAAGACTCCTAACTCTGGGAAACGAACTAGGGGTGGTGGAAGGGGAGGTGGGCGGGGGGTGGGGGTGACTGGGTGGCAGGCACTGAGGTGGGCACGTGAAGGGATGAGCACTTATTCTGTATGTTGACAAACTGAACACCAATAAAAAATAAATTCATTAAAAAAATAAGACTTAAGAGTCTTAATATGAGGAGCAATCCCAAGGCATTCCTGGAGCTAGGAAGACTGGTGAATTCGATAAAATAAATCAGACCAAAGCTACATAATCACCACGCCACTGACCGGTTCCTTGATGTGTCTGCACATACTTCAGAACGTTTCTGGAACTCTGAGTCTGATGCCCTGCGATCTCTGATTTCTTAAAGTATACGTGACACGTTTATGCTAACTTCCTCCCTGTTGGTGGTGGCCACGTCTCTGCTAAGCGGCTGTGCACAGAGTGGCTGAGTGAGCCAAAGTGAAGGGGCATTCGTGTCCTAAGCCCCAGATTAAAAGAGGGGCTCCTGTAGGCCCCAGCCGACACTGCCGAGCCCACTGCCTTCGCCTGGGAAGACTTGAGAACAGCAGCGGAGGGTGCATGAGGTTGTGCAGTGCACAACTTGGCCGTGCAGCCAACAGGGTCACTCATGCCTCCTTAGACGTCCCTCCTTGGCAGTCCCTAGAGCCTCAGGAGCCGATGCACATAGGAGAAAATTACGAGAAGAAATGATATTGTTGTGTGGAAGATATTAGGGAAAATACTGATCATCTTTTAACGGAAATGGATTCTCTAAGAGAGAATACCTCTGTCTACCCTAAGAAGGTCAACAGACTTAGACATGCTAAACAGTGTTTCTTACGGTCATTTTTTTTTTTTTTAAGCTGGATACCAGGATTCCCTAATTTCAGAGTAAAAAGGAAAATAACAATGTGCTTGTGTTCATTTAACCTAATTGAAAGGGAGAAAACCACACTGCTTAGTCACATTCCATATTTTCTTTTTTTTGAAAATTCAGCTGCTATCATAGGCTAGAATAATAGCATTGTGTTATTTAGAGGAATTAGTCTCTGTAGAGAAATTAGATGATAAAAAACAAGGCAAATATATTTAATATGTCTGGGAATAAAATCTAGATTTATCTATCAATTGTACTAATGGTAGGTAATATTTTAAATCCTTTTTAAACATGGGAAATACATCCAAAGGAAAACGAATCCTTATAACCACTTAGCATAGCAGAGGGAGCCAACACTGTTTTAGCTTCTCAGAGGTTTCTGATTGTTACTTGACAAGACATTTTATGGTGGGGGAAACCCAGACAATGTTTTCTGGGGCCAAATTAGTAGCCCTAGAAAAGTAAAAATTTAGGACATGAGAAGTTGGCAGATCTCTATGGATTGTTGTATTGGGAAACATCCCCATAAGAGGATAAAAATCAATTTTAGCTCATTTACTTAACATGACTTGAGTTTCATGTACTATCACTTTTTGTTTTGTACAGGGATCTTGGCAAAATTAGCAACGAATCCATAAAGGAGACTAAAAGCCATTTGATCTCCCTCTTCAATGACAGTCCCACAAAAGTCGAAGAAATACATTATGTCTCCAATGAAGAGAGCAGTTGTACCCTAAAATTAGGACATGATTAAGGTATGACATTTCTTTTAGTTCAGTTGCAATGCTTTGTTCTATTACAGATCATTTCTTCTCCCTTTTTTTTTCCAGTATCTCTCTCTCTCTCTCTCTCTCTCTCTCTTCCTTTTCTTCCTCTCATTAGCAGATTGTCTTTTATAATTGATGTTGTTCACCGCCCTTTCATCAGATATATGCCACATCTCTTAGGCGAGCCATCCAACAGGGCACCTAAATACACATTAGAAGGTACTAGGAGCCATGAGTCGCTTTGACCTCCTCCTCAGGGCAGTTATAATAAGCATCTTGATGCCACTGAATGCAATGCTGTATTCAAATAATAGCCTTCATCTTTACCCTCTTTAAATATAAAAGTAAACCTTGAAGCCTTTGAAGGACCTAACCAAACAACACACATGTGAAAATAGACCAGTGAGTCTTTGGAAAAAAAAAAAAAAAAAAAAAAGACCTTATGTAAAATCTGTAAAGAATCTTGGCAGTTTTTCAAGAAAGACCTCCAGGTAAACGATGGCTGTGAACGAGACACGTGGCCGTCTAGTTATGGGGATCATTATTGTGGGCCCACTGTGCCATTTTTGTTCCCAGCAGGATCTTTCTTTTCTCATCGAGTTTTCAGGGATATCTATCTACTGTTCTCTGTGTCTAAAGCATATTGAAGTGGTCCCACAAAGATGCACTAATTAAAAGAAACAAAACGTAGGAAAAAAAAAACCTAAAAAAAAAAAAAAACTTTGTCAAGTGGTCAGACAGAGTGGAACTAGAGGATTATAGGTAAGAGGGATAAAATGAAGGGTTGGAAGCTATAATTTCTATTTCTGTGGTGGCAACCGCATCAGCTATTGGAGTCAGGCAGTTAAAAGATATGGCTACTTAAGCACAGAGTCTGAGAAGAAGACACTTCAAAATATAACAGTGAATCAGGCCTCTGGTGGTAAAGATGCACTAAATGATGGGGATCCCTTGCCGGGGTCCTTTTCCTAATTGTCTCGACTTCCCTCTTTCCCATACTCGTGTCTTCCACTTTCCATTTGTTTCCATCCTTGTGTTGCACAAGTCCATCTAATACTTTCCTTCCTCCTAGAAAACAGAGAACATGTTTTAAAAGGAGACACTGCATCTCAAGGGACTTCTTCATTTTGCCAGAAAATAGTTCATTCTTGAACATGATCTGACTGTGGATTCTCAGGAAAAGCCCCTCTCCCTATAAATAGTTTTAAAGAGCATGTATGCACATATGGATGTCAGGCAATCAAATCTGTAGAGTAATTTGAAGAATGAATTATTAGAGTGACAGGATCACTTAGAAAACATTGAGAAATACAGATAGCTGTCTAGCTTACATAATATTTACCATCATCTTGGGAGTTTCATCCCACCATTTGGCCTTATCCTTATATTTTTATTGGAATTAACAGAATCAGAGAGTTAGTAGAAAGCATAGAAATCTGTAATACAGTTTCTCGTGTTGAAGTGAAGAAAATGAAGCCCAGAAAATAATCTAAGTCATCTTGCTTGTCTAAAATGCCATTGGTTTAATTTTAGTTTTGCATATACATAGACCAAGAAAATACTTTCCCAGAAACTGGTTACAAATGTCTGAGAAGAGACATAATCATTAAAATATACATGTAGTAAATATAATATCATTCAGTAGTTGCTAATATATATTGAAATTGCCTGGAGATTTTATGCATTTAGGAAAACTTACTTTCATTGTTAATATAGCCTCTGACCTCTGTATATGTATAACATGTAAACAAGTTCAAATTTTCTATAAGTCAACTCTATTTTTATTTACAAGTACAACCCCCTTTTGATTTTTTTTTTTTTTTTGTCTTCTGATTATATATTACTCACAGTTCTGTAGTTTTAACCAGAACAAAAAGGATTGCCCGGAAGAAAAGAAGGTAAGTTATTTCCTAAGTTGGGCTGGAAATTCAGAAGTTCTTTTTCCATCACCAGCATTGTATTCTTGAAAAAAAAAATAAGACAAACTCTAATTTTTTTTCACTTATGAGCTATTTCCATAAAAACTGGCAGAGTGGGGGTGGGGAGGAAATCCACTGTAGAGACACAGCTAGACCCTATTATTAGAGGCATTGGTGGCATCCTATAGGAAATATAGTTTGTTCTTGAAGACACAATAGGCTTAATGTTAAAAAAAAAAAAAACCTAAAATATCACACATACCCCAAAAACATGTTTATAAAACAAAGCTTTTAAATTTTTAATTATACCCCTAAGCTGGCTTTCTAGTTTTTCTAGGATATCAAGGCATTAAGAAAGAAAGAAAGAAAGAAAGAAAGAAAGAAAGAAAGAAAGAAAGAAAGAAAAAGAAAGATTTACTCAGATTAGTGTTGGAAACATCACATAGAAATATGTGTGGTGATGTTACTGGAAATGACCATTTTTGTAAAGTAAACAAGTAGAATGTCTGAGTTTTAAAAAGCCTGCCACACTGCCTTAAGGTTAAAGATACAAGTCTAGATATATCTAAGAAATTGTAGTTTGTTTAACTTTTGGTTCTAAGTATTTTCTGATGCAAATATTTAAAAGATTGCTATGTCTTCAGTTAAAAATGAACATTTTGATGAAGTAGTAATACTTAGGTTGTTTTCAGTTTCTGTAATTAAATGCTACTTGCTACTTATTCGGGGCATAGGTTTCAGTTCCAAATCATTGAGGACACGGCTAAGTGACATAACCTAATTTTTTAAAAAGTCAAACAACAATTTTGTGGCAGTTTTCAACTATAACTTTAATTTGTGTTTTAGGGACTTCATATGTAGTTAAATAGCATCAGGATCTTAATTATCATAATTTAAATGATAATCTATAAAATATGGAACATGATAATATAATGAATGCAGACTTAAGGAAAAATTGCATCTCCTTAGCCAGAAAAGTATGGGAAATCAGAACCAATGAGGATGAACATAATTATTTTTCCTGATACTTCGATAGACTAATCTATAAAAGTTGGGTTTGATAGATCTTGTCTTATTGGTATATGAAGAAACCCAGGGCTGACATCAGAGTTTGTGGGTGTGTGGCATGTATATTTTTAATAAAGATATCTATGATCAATATTGCAGAGATAATTAGGCTTCACATAAAACTACCTCTTCTAGAGTCTTCAAGACCAAGAAACTGCAGCTGTGAATCACCTGCCTCTTCCACAGAGAGTGCCAAAGGGTCTAACTCAATGAAAATTCAACCAGAATGCACAAAAATACAATATTCCCAATCTGCTATTTATATTGGCAGATAAATTATATATATGCACAACAATAATTGCCCGTTGTTGATTTTTATGTTGCACAATTATACTAAATTTTGAATGGCATTTTTAACAAAAGAAGCCTAGAAGAGACATCCTTTGGCTCACAAAGGACAAAGTCATCACGTATACCTGAGAAAACATTTTTAGAGCTATTGTGGTGGTTGCTGAAAGATACACTGAAAGATGCTTATGGCTCAAGAACATATTTCATTTAGAAGCTGAGCTGTGCGTTCGTATTTTATCAACTTCATAAATACTGGATCGATAGGTTTTCAATCATAAAGGAAATTTAGAAAGAGAAGAAATGTAAGTGAAAAATCTTGTTAGGAGCGGTAGTTATATAGAGAAGTGATTGCTTATTTTTTCAAGATGAAGTCTCATTTTAAGTAAATAACATTTTCAGGAAAAGAAGTTGGTTAACAGAACAACGTTCACACAAGGCAATATGCCACATAACTCAACACGCCGGTGCAAAATTGTTAGCTTGTAAAAGGGGATTCAGTGCTGGTCAATAATCACAAGCTATATTTTCTCCACTGAAAAGAAGAACTCTCTTCACATTTTGAGTATGAGTAAAGGGAATTTGGTTCATGTTCCACAGCTCTATGGCCATGATGGCAGGCTTTGATTTTTCAATGGGTATCATGGAAATTATAGTAACTATGACCAACTTGTAATGACTAAATAGGACTTAATTTTTCTCTAGCTTGGGGTTCCTCAACAGAGGTACTATTGATATTTTGGACCAGATAACAACTAGGCATGGGAGATTGTACATTGTAGCATTGTGCATTGTAACATTTTTAGTCAACATCTTGGCATCTACTCACCAGATGCCGGTAGCATTCCTCTCTCACCACATTGGTATTAGCAGACGTTGCCTTTGGTTGAGAACCACCTGTCTAGACATTTTTCATTTCTTGTCTTATTTCAGTGGAAAATGAGTTATGTTGGTTTTCTGCAGGATCTTTAAAAGACATATTCTATAGAACACTCTAAGTGAAGAAGTGGTCTACAATGCAAATGTTTCTGTAGGATACAAAAAAGTAGGATACAAAAAATAGAATCTCAATAGTACATTCATTACTTGAAACATTAAATATTGTATTAAAATGACACAGATTTTAAGGGATATTGACTGTGAGCTCATATTTTGTGCCATACCTGAAAATTTGCCACATAAGCCAGGTAAATTAATGCAAAATATGTTTGCCTCTGATTGGACATGAAAAATTTTTTCATGTGTATTATAGTTAAATATAACAATACCTTTTCAGATGTAGCTTTCTGCAGCAGAAAACAAACTAAGGATTCTTACCAGATAATTCTTCATGGAGCTGATTATAGCAGAAGAGTCTCCCTCGTGTGTGTTTTCCGTACACGTTGACTTTATCCATGTACTAGAGCACAGTTTCCCTGCAATCGCACACAAACTACTGAAAACAAAAGAAAGCAATCTGCAGAGAACCTGGGAAATCATCATCAAAATGGGCTGATAACCATGTATTTAAAATATGGATTATCAGCTATTTTTTAACTAACAGTAATGAGATGGTAGAGAAGTTATTACCTTGATATGTCTTTGGGATTTGAGGGGGTTTAGTGGAAATATATTGTAAGCAAGGGGAAAAATAAGCTAATATGGAAGATGAAGAAGCAAGCGGTCAAAAGAGAAATATGCAGGAAGCAAGGAATCCTGTTTTAGATGACAGGA